AAATAAAAGAACACCAATCAGAAATACCTTAAGGTTGCGTTTGGATTTGAGAATTTGATTTCAAATTCCAGAATTGAATTCTGGAATTTAAAATCTATAATTTCAAATTCAATTCCTTCATTTGTGAAATGTTCAAATTTGAATTCCAGAATTCAATTTGAAATTCATGTTTGGCAAACTTTAGAATTTCAATTTTGAAAATTTCAATTGAGTTGTCAACTAGTAAAATTCTAATTTTTAAACTGACATTGTAGCTCAAAGATAATTTAAAAATAAGGTAATCAATTTACATAAGGTTTGCATCGAAATTGGTGGAAATAAATGCCTCAAATAGTATAGCACATATCCAACCAACAAGACATATAGATTAAATACTTTAAAACCTTGAATGCAGTGATGTCAATAGTTCACCTAATAATCACCATAGAAATAACCAAAATCATTCATCAATAAAACTTTGTAAACTCCTTCACCATTAACTATACAATAAATAAAGTAGAAACTTCAAATATTGCATATAACAATTCAAAAAAAACCAAAATATGTTCGAGCTACAATTTTAGTTAATATTTCCCCATTATACAGTGTCATGCTTAAGTTGCTCTCGTACTAATTTCTTTAAAACTTTTACATCTGATTCAAATAAGAGTTTCTTTCTAATGCTTATACACTTTTGCTTTGTATTTCTCATTGTAGCTTTCTCTCCCCGGTTCAAGAGGTCCTGCTTTGCGAGGTCTTAAATCACCTGAAACAATAAGAAGACCAAATGAGCTCCTTTTTAAAGTGTGATACTGTAAAGGGATACGTTCAAGTAATACAGTAATGTACAGTTTTCTTTGGAATACATAGTAGGAGAACTTATTAGTTTTGATAGGATCGGCCATAGAAGTACTTGTGTTTATACAATAGCATACAACACTTGTGTTTATACAATAGCATACAACACTTGTGTTTATAATCTTGCACTATCTTTTTCTTTTTATGTAATATACCGCACATGATCTAGGTGCTACTATAAATTCTTACATGCTGTTTTCCTGAGCTCACATTTAATGTTTAAAATTCTGAATCAAATAAAGCAAACACAAGCAAGTAGATGCACACAATTTGAAATAAATCTATCATAACTAGATTCATAATCCAAACATGGAACCTTGAAGTATTTTACCATTGCAAGCTTCTTTCGCCGCTGCAAGATCAACGGAGAATTTTTTTTTAGCAAATTATAGTTCTCAATAGTTTTGTTTTGATATGCCTTAGCATCTGAATTTACCTATGCAAGCATATATCAATAAGATTTTGAAAATCGCTCACTTTTTGAATCTAGAATATATACGATGAAAGAGCAAAGGCATAATATAGACCCTATATCAAATATCTGTGCTCATTCCTGTAAGTATAATGATGTGAAACGACGTGTGTGTATTTAGGAGATCACCAATTTAATTGAAATTATACAATGTTTCACCAACTAAATCACGATCGTGTAGGAAATAGATTCACAATTTCTTAATATTGAATTAAATTGCAAGCGTAGTTCTAAAGACCAGTTGAAACTTATTGAAATTAAATGCAATTCAAGTTACGATGGTATTGTTCGAATCTCAATATCAAAATTCAGTAAAATATATAGTCGACAGATCACACATCTCACCAATTGTAAGTGGAACAGCAGATAATTGATAATAATTCAGAGATGTAATTCAAATGATGAACCCAACAATATTCTAAATAGTTGAGAGAAGAAACTACTTGATGGAATCCGTGGTTTGGACTCACTTGTATCACTTTTGTTGTGCAGGTTGATCGGATCTGGTGTGCTCGGCTAGGGCACTGCTGGAGGATGAAAAGGGGTGTTGGCGGTGGTGTTGCAAGACTGGTGAAGAGGCGGGGGGCTGGCTGTCGTCGTTCGTGAGGAGGGCGGCCGTCGGGGTGGTGTCGAAGGACCCGCGAGAGAGGGAGGGGAGGGACGACTGGAAGGAGGCGGCGATGTCGGCTGGTCGGGATCTGGAGGAGGCGCTCGAGGATCCTGGGCTGGCTGGTCATCGTCGCGGGGAGAAACGAAGGCTTCGTCGGCGAGGAGGATGGCGTCGGGCTGGAAAGAGGCGCTGAGACTAGGGCTTGGAGATTGAAGAGGAGAGCAGGGGTGTGGGGCTGAAGATTTGAACGGAGGGGAAAGGGGGAAGGCTTTGGCGGTTGTGGGAGTGAACTAGGGTTTCTTTTCTCTTTTTTTTTATAATGGACAGCTATGATGTACTTAAGAGTAAATGGGTGGCTGTGAGGAATTGACAGGAAAACAAAATGATGGCTGAATGAAATGGGGGTATTGGATTTTGAAAGAGGGTAGAGAACTAGGGTTTCACACACCTAGATCTAATATTTGGGTTTCACACACCAAATATTATGGGAGAATTTTCATTTCTTTTAGAAAACTCAAATATTTTATTTCATCAATAATTCATCATTTGATTACAAATCATCCCGCCTTTAAATAGGCTTACAAAAAAGACTCATCTCCCTCCACATCCGATGTGGGACTAAAGTAACACTCTTATTAAGCAAAACTAACTACAACTCTTATTAAAAGAAAAACAAATGAAAATACAAACTAGACTCTATCACAACTAAAACCACATCATAGGGACCCGATGAAAAGCTGAAGCACGACGTCTCCTACGCTGATAAACATGTCGAAAGTCCCGTGCACGTGCCTGGATGTCCTGGATGTCCGTATCATTCTCCCCAGGTGGGAGAGAACTCGACCCCGTCGAGTCAGGGGTAGAAAAACTATCATATCGCTCCAGAAGGTCAGGATCAATGCGTTGTAAATCACTGCGGTCTAGCCACGTATCTTCAGCAGGTGATTTTCCCTTCCAACGAATTAGATATCGTCGGGTTCCACCATCTCCAGTAGAGATAATTTCATCATCTAAAATGTTATCAATTGTGTCTGCTGGATTGGGATAAATATCTGGGAGTGGGGGAAGTGAGGGGCTCTCAAAAGAAAGGTCAGGGGAAGGCTCATCAACCAATGGGTTGCTGGGGTTAAAATCAGGACCCTTATAATCCACCAAATCCTCGACATTGAAAGTAGAACTGATACCAAAATCTTCAGGGAGATCTATAACATAAGCATTGTCATTTAATTTCTTTAAGATTTTAAAAGGTCCAGCACTACGAGCATGCAATTTTTTTACAGTTCCTGGAGGAAACCGTTCCGGACGAATCCGAACCATCACAAGATCATCAATATTAAAAGTTTTAAATCTCTTTCTTACATCAGCTCGTAATTTATAGTTAACATTACTCTTTTCAATTTTATCGCTGATCTCCTTGTGTAGTTCGTGCATATGGGATGCAAATGCAGATGCAGACTCAGATAACCTATAGTGATTGGTCATGGGAATGAGGTCAATGGGTTGTCTAGGCCTAAAACTATACACTACTTCATGCGGACTCTTACCAGTTGTCCTATTAACAGATGAATTATATGCAAACTCAGCGATGGACAATTTCAGATCCCAGTTCCCAACATGCTCACCAACTAGAGTACGCAAGAGATTTCCTAGACTCCGATTGATAACTTCAGTCTGGCCGTCAGTTTGAGGATGAAAAGCAGTGGAGAATTTAAGCTTCGTACCTAACTTATGCCAAAGAGTTTTCCAAAAGTAACCGGTGAACTTCACATCTCTATCAGACACAATAGTCTTTGGCAGACCATGCAATTTGACAACGCCATCAAAAAATATTTGGGCCACTCTCGAGGCATCAGACGTTCTAGAACAAGGTAGAAAATGAGCCATCTTGGAAAATCGGTGAACCACAACAAGAATTGAATCGTGTTTCCTGAGGGTTTTTGGGAGACCTAACACGAAATCCATGCTAAGATCTTGCCATGGACAATCAAGGACCGGTAGGGGAGTGTACAAACCAGTGTTCTGTTTTCGTTGTTTGGCTAACTGGCAGACATGACATCTCCCAACGCACTTGGTAACATCGCGCTTCAAACTGGGCCAATAGAATCGATATTCTACAGCCTCAATGGTCTTTTCATTTCCAAAGTGCCCAGCTAAGCCGCCAGCATGCAATTCCCACACAAGAAATTCTCGCAAAGAAGTCTGTGGAATGCACAATCTACGACCTAGAAATAAGAATCCATCTTGAAGGATATAGCCGTCAATTTCTCGGGTTGTTCCGTCAATCAACATTGCATACATCTCACCAAAGTCGGGACACGACTCATAGTCCGTCTTAAGCCTCTCAAATCCAACAACAGCTGTGGATAATTTTGTCATGACATAGATTCGTTGACTGAGAGCATCAGCAGCCTTGTTGTCAACTCCCGCTTTATGTCGCAAGGTGAAGGTGTAATCCTGAAGAAACTCAACCCAACGTGCATGACGGAAATTCAACTTTTTCTGGGAATAAATATATCGAAGGGCTTCATGATCTGAGTATATGACAAATTCTTGCGGCAGCAGGTAATGGCGCCAATGGCGAAGAGATTGAATTACAGCGTAGAATTCTTTGTCATAAGTGGTATATCGCATACGTGTGTCATTCAATTTCTCACTGAAATATGCGATTGGATGGCCTTCTTGAGAGAGAATTCCACCTATGCCAACTCCAGAAGCATCACATGCAACCTCAAAGACTTTGTTAAAGTCTGGCAGGCGCATAACAGGGGCATTAATCATTCTCTCCTTGATTTCTAAAAATGCCTTGGTGGCTTCGCGTGACCACTCAAATTCGCCTTTCTTTAAACAGTCGGTGATTGGAGCCATGATCGTGCTAAATCCCTTGATAAACCGACGGTACAAGGTAGCGAGCCCGTAAAAGCTTCTCACATCACGGATGTTCTTGGGCTCGGGCCAATCATTTATCGCTTTGACTTTTTCAGGATCTGCAGATACTCCTTCAACAGAGACTACAAACCCTAAGAATTGAACCTGTGTGGCAAGAAAGGTACACTTCTTTGGATTCGCATACAGTTCTTCCTTTCTTAGTATAGAGCAAACTTGTCACAAATGGTTAAGATGTTGCTCACGAGATTGACTGTAAATGAGGATGTCGTCAAAGTAGACTACCAAAAATCTACCCATGAACGGACGTAGTACTTGCGTCATCACTCGCATGAAAGTACTCGGAGCATTGGTCAATCCGAAAGGCATGACCATCCATTCGTACAACCCATCCTTCGTTTTGAAGGCGGTCTTCCATTCATCTCCAGGACGAATGCGGATTTGGTGATAACCACTCTTTAAATCGATCTTTGAAAAGACAGTAACGCCAGACATCATATCCAACATATCATCCAAACGTGGGATTGGAAAACGATATTTCACTGTTATCTTATTGATGGCACGACTATCCACGCACATACGCCACGATCCATCTTTCTTTGGCGTCAGCAACGCGGGAACCGCGCAAGGACTCATGCTCTCTTGGATAAATCCTTTCTTTAACAACTCATCAACTTGCTTCTTGAGTTCAGCATGTTCAGTAGGATTCATCCTATAATGCGGCAAGTTGGGAAGACTCGCTCCAGGGACCAAATCAATAGCGTGTTGAATGTCACGCATCGGTGGTAACTTGTCGGGGAGATCTTCAGGGAAAACATCAGCAAATTCCGTGATCACCGGAGTGACTTCAGGAGGAAGGGGGTTGCTAGATTCCTTAGTGACCTCCCTGGCTGTGAGTATCATGACTGGGGCTCCCTTTTCAAACTCTTGACGGATCTCCTTTGTTGTGATCAAGCTAACACCCTTATTTTTCTTTACTGCAATTGGCTTTTGTTCGGGTTGCTTAGTCTTGGGTGAACTGGGGAGTAACTTGATCTTCTTTCCTTCATGTTCAAAATGACATGTGTTTGTTCGACCATAGATAGTTACATCATTATCATACAACCATGGTCGTCCAAGGATGACATGACCCACATCCATGGCCACAACGTCACACCAAATCTTATCCTTGTACAGATTAAAGTCTATCGGCACAAGGCATCTTTGTTTAACGTCTAGTGCGGTAGAATCAATCCACATGACTCTATAAGGGTGCGGATGGTGTACAGCTTTCAGACCAAACTTAGCAAGTTCCGTAGACGATATTGCATTGATGCAGCTTCCACTGTCCACAATAACTTTACAAGATTTTCCTCCAATCTTTGTGAATGTGTGGAACATATTTGTTCGTCTCCAATCATCTTGGTCCTTCGGTTGGGTCAAAGCACATCTAACGACAGCTAGTTGACTTGACGGTGTTGATCGAATGCAACCAATACTAATATCATTCTCGTCAAATTCCTCACTTGAGTCAAAATCCTCTTCTTCCACATGATAAACGAATTCATTTTTCTTTGACTCTAATTCTTCAACAGGCTCTCCGTTGACAATGGTGATTTTAACGGGACTTGGACAGTTAGCAGCCACATGTCCATACCCTTGGTACTTGTAACATTTGGTAGTGGAACTAACCTTTGAGAAATTCCTTTCAGTGCCCTTGCCTTTGTTATCTCGTTCTTTATTCCCGCTCGAGGTGTCGGTCTTTTGTGATGATGTTTGAGCTTGAAATCGATTTGGGTATTGACCCAAAGTATATTTGTGTCCTTGTACGGAATTCTTGAAAGTGGAGCTAGACCTCGTAGTATCTAAGTCCTGAACTACGACATAGGCTTTCTCAAGCTCAGAAATTCCTCGAATCAAAAGTTCATTTCGCAAATCTTCTCGAAGTCCGGCTCTAAATCGAGAGAGAGTTTGGTGTGGATTCTCAATGTTCAAAGCATTACACTGAATTTGGAACTCTTCAAATTGAGTAACATAATCCTTAGCGGATTTATTACCTTGTGTAAATCGGTTCCAGTTGTCGAGAATGCGTTCGTGGTAAGATACAGGTACATACTTCTCTTTGAGCTTGTCTTTCATATTCGCCCATGTGTTGATGGGGGCCATTTGGCGAGCTACTCTCATCATTTCCAAGTTAGCCCAGTATTGGCTAGCCTGACCAGTTAGTTTCATTGCTGCAAATTTGATTCTTCTCTCTTCGAAAAGTGGATACCAGTTGAAGTAATCGTCCACTTGTCGGATCCATTCCAAGAAATTTTTAGGCTCCGATCGTCCATCGAAAGTAGGAACGTCCAGCTTAATGCTCTTCAGGTATCGTTCGTCAGGATCTTGAGCATTACGTCTTTGGTGGGTTCTGATTGGAACGTGCTCTTCGTTGTGTTCGTTGTTTTGCGTCCCACGTATTTCTAACCTCTGCAATCTTTCATGCAATTTGTCACGATCTTCTTGTTGAGATTGACGAACTTCGTTCACGGCTTGGGTTAAAGCGTTGAGTTGACTCATGAGGTCAGCTATGGGGAACGCGTTGGAATCCATTCTAGAATTGTCCGACTCGCTAGACTCTCCTAATAAGTAAGTTTGACCACTACGGAGTGGCATGCACTAATCACGCCCAAACAACTAAAAGATGTAAATTTTTTTAGATGCAATTGCAGACAGAATAATAAATGCAAACTAAAAATGATGTAATTTCCTACCTAACCGTGCTCTGATACCAAAATGATGTGAAACGACGTGTGTGTATTCAGGCGATCACCAATTTAATTGAAATTACACAATGTTTCACCAACTAAATCACGATCGTGTAGGAAATAGATTCACAATTTCTTAATATTGAATTAAATTGCAAGCGTAGTTCTAAAGACCAGTTGAAACTTATTGAAATTAAATGCAATTCAAGTTACGATGGTATTGTTCGAATCTCAATATCAAAATTCAGTAAAATATATAGTCGACAGATCACACATCTCACCAATTGTAAGTGGAACAGCAGATAATTGATAATAATTCATAGATGTAATTCAAATGATGAACCCAACAATATTCTAAATAGTTGAGAGAAGAAACTACTTGATGGAATCCGTGGTTTGGACTCACTTGTATCACTTTTGTTGTGCAGGTTGATCGGATCTGGTGTGCTCGGCTAGGGCACTGCTGGAGGATGAAAAGGGGTGTTGGCGGTGGTGTTGCAAGACTGGTGAAGAGGCGGGGGGCTGGCTGTCGTCGTTCGTGAGGAGGGCGGCCGTCGGGGTGGTGTCGAAGGACCCGCGAGAGAGGGAGGGGAGGGACGACTGGAAGGAGGCGGCGATGTCGGCTGGTCGGGATCTGGAGGAGGCGCTCGAGGATCCTGGGCTGGCTGGTCATCGTCGCGGGGAGAAACGAAGGCTTCGTCGGCGAGGAGGATGGCGTCGGGCTGGAAAGAGGCGCTGAGACTAGGGCTTGGAGATTGAAGAGGAGAGCAGGGGTGTGGGGCTGAAGATTTGAACGGAGGGGAAAGGGGGAAGGCTTTGGCGGCTGTGGGAGTGAACTAGGGTTTCTTTTCTCTTTTTTTTTATAATGGACAGCTATGATGTACTTGAGAGTAAATGAGTGGCTGTGAGGAATTGACAGGAAAACAAAATGATGGCTGAATGAAATGGGGGTATTGGATTTTGAAAGAGGTTAGAGAACTAGGGTTTCACACACCTAGATCTAATATTTGGGTTTCACACACCAAATATTATGAGAGAATTTTCATTTCTTTTAGAAAACTCAAATATTTTATTTCATCAATAATTCATCATTTGATTACAAATCATCCCGCCTTTAAATAGGCTTACAAAAAAGACTCATCTCCCTCCACATCCGATGTGGGACTAAAGTAACACTCTTATTAAGCAAAACTAACTACAACTCTTATTAAAAGAAAAACAAATGAAAATACAGACTCGACTCTATCACAACTAAAACCACATCATAGGGACCCGATAAAAAGCTAAAACACGACGTCTCCTGTGCTGATAAACATGTCAAAGTCCCGTGCACGTGCCTGGATGTCCTGGATGTCCGCATCATATAAGCAACCATTTTTCAAAAGTTTTGGCCTGATTATTATCTCTCAGTTACCTAAGAACCCATCATCTTAAAAAGAAGCAACTGTTTTTTTTTTTTTTAAGATTTTTAGCTGCTGCCTAGAATCTCTGCACATGTTAAGCCTCCCATATTAATAAGTTTGTCAAACCACTCATTCTATGATTAGAATAAAGACTTACTCAGACTATTAATAGGACAAGGTTCAAAAAACTGCAAGAAGGCAGCAAGTGCTAAAATTAGAATTTGCAAAAACTGTAAGAAAGTCTGTGTTTTAGGATGTATCTTAAAAACTACAAGAAAGGATGATCTAAAATTAGAATTTGCAAAGATTTTTCAATAATTAGTGCCTTAAAGAGATAGGTATCTAGGAAAAAAACATGCAAGGAACACTGATCTTAGTCATAACTCACTAGTAGAAAAACGACTAAACTAGACGGAACAACCTAGACGGAAAAAATTTCCGTCTAGATTGAGGAAAACTAGACGGAAATTTTTCGTCTAGATTGTTCCGTCTAGTTTGAGGCATTTTAGACGAAAATTTCCATCTAGAATACCAACCTAGATGGAATAATTTTTTTTTTAAATTAAAAAACTCAACCTAGACGGAAATTTCCATCTAGGTTGATCTTAAAAAAAATACAAAAACCCCTAAACCTAATCCTCCTCCTCTTTCTACTTCGGCAAGCCCCTCAATTTCTCCGCTTCCAATCTCTCTATCGCCATCGCCGCCGCCGCTTTAAAACCTGTTAGGGACTTGGGTAGTATGCAATGCCTAAGCCCCACATCGAGTAAAATGAGAAGCTTGATTGGGTATTTAAGTGACTCGGTTCTTCCCCCTTAACAGCTAGCTTTTAAGGGTGGGTTCCCCAAGTTGCTTGGATCCTAACAAAACCCTTGACCGTCATCGCCGCCTCCAAGAAGGCCGTTGCCGTACTCAAGGGGAACTCCGAGGTCGAGGGCGTCGTCACTCTCCTTCAAGAAGACGATGGTTATTTGCTCCCCTTGCCTTTTGATTTTCACTGCTCAAAGTTTGGATTTTGATCAATGATTTATCGCATTTCACGGATTGAACTAGTGTACCACTTAGTATTAACGAGCGATCAAAAGTTTTTTTTTCTTATTGCTGCTTATGGAATCATTATCTTGATATGCAATTTTTTGCATTTTTTTCATGTTAAATTAGCCAATTAGAAAGATTTATGTTGTAATTTTTTATGACGGATATTACGCTATCTTGATTTATGTTTTAATCTTGCTGATTTTCTTTTGTTCCTATTCACAATTCTTCATGTGTATTTAGATTTCATTGGCTGGCCCTAATGCAGTCATTGGAAGAGCATTTGTAGTTCATGAGCTGGAGGATGACCTGGGTAAAGGTGAGCTTTGTGTTCCTAAGTTTTTATTTTCTGAATCAGTTTTAAATCCAATTTAGAATCATTTTCATTTTTTTCTCTTTAGTCATGTTCCCCTTTTTTCTCGATTTCTTTCCTGCTTTTATTGTGGTCCAAATATTGTATTTGTTTCATTTTGCAAGAGGACATGAGCTTAGCCTTAGCACTTGGAAGGCAGGGGGAAGATTAGCATGTGGTAAGCAAATATTTGTTGCCTCTTTTCTCGCCATGCTTTATGATTTCATTATTTACTTTCAGAAGTTGCTCTTATGCGATCAACTTTATGTAATGACATCTCTTGTTCTAGTATATGTCGAGTCACAATGTATGGAATACCTGTAAGATTGTATGTTGCTCTTATGAGATTGTATGCTTTACCTACCAATTTATTCAATTGGAACACAATGTGAAAATGTTCAAATGTTGACTTAGAGAATGAAAAGAACAATAACATGAAAGGGAAAGTATTCCAGTAAATTCTTTATACATTATATAGGTAGTGGTTACTAATTAGCGTAAGCGTAATTCTTTTAATAAGCAGGTTGCAATAGCGTAAATTTGATTTTATCAAAGGGTATAGGAGGCTAATGCAGGCATGTTTCTCTCCTTTAAAGATATTCCTTGTGGAAGATTCTTTGAAAAGTGGAAGGAAAATTTTGTGCTTGCTCCTGACGAAAATGATATTGGATATCTTGCAATCATTTTGAAGTTGTAAAATCCTCAAAGTTGAGCATAGAATGTACTTGGATGAAGCTTATGTAATTTGTTTAGTGTGATCTATTCTTTGGTTTTGATGTTTATATTTCTTGGCATCTTAATATGCTAGTTGAACTTGTTGGACTCCATGCTGTGTAAGATTTGTTAAGATTCTGAGAAGTCTTGACTAAAGAGTCTTCTTTGTTGCTCTCTTGTGTTGCAGATTACAGAACTGTGTCTGGAGTTGCTGGACCACTGGTAATACCGGAAAAAGTGAAGGTAAAAAGCCATTCTTGGAAGTTTTTCTGTGGCAAAGTTTCACAAGTCCTTATTTTCTTGTTCGATTTACTTACAATTGCAGTTTATATCAGGGCCCTAAATATCAAGAAATTGTTAATATTCGACTTGGAGATGGAACAACAAGGCGTGGTCAGGTTCTTGAAGTTGACGGAGAGAAAGCTGTGGTTCAGGTCAGTATTCCTTGGGGCTAAGTATTTTTTTGAAACTATTTACGTATGAACTGTTGGTCTTGAGAGGGGAGACCCAAACCTAGAGTCAAAATTAACAATAGCATGAAAATTCAAGACAGGCCATGGGTGTGGTATCTGCCACACCCTGGTGTGGTAAAATCTGCCTTGTCTGTCATGGGTATGGTGTCTGCCACACCCTGGTGTGGCAGAATCTGCCCTGTCTGTCATGGGTGTGGTGTCTACCACACCCTGATATGGCAGAGTCTGTCCTGTCTGCCATGGGTGTGGTGTCTGCCACACTAGGGTGTGGAGACTAGTTTTAGAATTCTAATCTGTTTATGATTGTGTTTGTTATAAATAGAAACACGTCCCTCAAGGGTTTAAGAGAGAAAAAGAGCACGAAAAATAGGGTTTTTGAGGGCTCTCTGAGATTAGAAATCTTAGAAAGGGAGAGGCCAATTGTAAGCATTATAATCTTCTTCAAGTAATCAAAGAATTGTATGGTGTGGCTCCCGAGGACGTAGGCACGTTGCCGAACCTCGTTAAATCTGGTGTTATGGTGTGGCTCCCGAGGACGTAGGCACGTTGCCGAACCTCGTTAAATCTGGTGTGTTCTTTCTTGTTCTTATTTCCTACAAGTTTTTATCTTTGATTTGTGGTGAATTTCTTTCTTGCTCAACTCTCAAACACAAGATCCGGAAGGGTACAGATTTGATTTGATTGTTTCGAATCCGCAACAACTGGTATCAGAGATTCGTTCAACAAATTTGTGAGAAAGAGAGCCATGACAGAGGAAATCAAATCTAAGATTGAGAAGTTTGACGGTTCAGATTTCGCCTACTGGAAGTCACAAATGGAGGACTATCTGTACCAGAAGGACTTGTATCGTTGGTTGATGGGCAAGGAAAAGGGACAGAAGAGGGAGGAGTCAGATGGTAATTGGGAGATACTAGATAGGAAGGCTCTAGGACAAATCCGGTTGTCGCTCGTCAAATCAGTAGCTCATAATACTTTGAAGAAGAAGACAACGGTGGGGCTTATGGAAGTGCTCGCAAAGATGTACGAGCAACCGTCGGAAGCAAACAAGGTGTATCTCGTCAAAACTCTTTTCAACCTCAATATGGCAGAAGGACGGTCCTTCACGATACACCTCAGCGAGTTCAACACGATTGTTGATCAGCTTATCTCCATAGACATCACGTTCGATGACGAAGTGTAGGCCCTTCTACTACTACCGTAGTTACCGGATAGTTGGGCAGGTTGTGTGACGACAATTAGCAATTCGACGGGGAAGAAAAAGTTAAAGCTGAGTGAGGTGATTAATATGATTTTATCCGAGGAGGTTAGAAGAAAATCGTCCGAATCAAAAGGTTCAGGTTCAGCTCTAAGTTTCGAGCAGAGAGGCAGAAGCCAGAAGAAAGGAAACCAGAATAGGAATCGGTCGAAATCAGTGAAGAAGAGGTCGAACTCAAAGGTTAGGCCTATCAAAGGGAAGTGTTGGAACTGAGGCCAGGAGGGCCATATATCTTTAGTCTGCAAGAGTCCAAAGAAGGATGCGGGTGAGCAGGAGGCTCATATCGTGCAGGATACCTTGATCGTTGCTATGGATAGCGACTCGGATTCTTGGGTCATTAATTTAAGAGCCTCTTTCCACGCCACTGCTAACAGAAAGCTTCTCCAAAACTATGTAGCAGGAGACTTTAGAAAAGTGTATTTGGGGAATAACGAGCCCTGTAATATTGTTGGAAATGGTGAAGTGTAGATTCAGATGAAGGGCTCTAAGTGGACATTGAAGAACGTGAGACACGTGCCGAAGCTGAAGAGGAATCTTGTTTCGGTGGGATAGCTTGGAGCAGAAGGCTATATTTCTACATTCACAGGGGATTCGTGGAAAATCTCTAACGGTACTATGATAGTTGCTCAAGGCAACAAACTAAAAACTCTTTACCTTACCTTACATGTGAGTGACACCCTCGCAATTACAGCTGGTAAAGAGAGTACAGATTAGTAGCACAACAAGCTAGGGCACATGAGCGAGAAGGGGATGAAGATCTTACATTCATAGGGAAAGCT